TATACGAGTTAATACCTCAATATATTTTCACAAGAAAGTAAAAGCGTGATTTCTTTGCCCTTTTCAGTACTCCTATGGTCTCCTATGCAGTCACGAAACTGATGACTGTAGTGACACTAAAAATGAGCTAACCTGTCCAATAAGTAATCCTATTTGACACTTGTACGAGCCATAAAGAGAGGAAATATGATCTCCAACTCGTTCTTCAATTATGATCGTTCGTCCCATTCTCTTGGTTCAAAAGTTATCATATCCACAATTCACAGATTTCATGAATATCCTCTGTGTCGGCCATATTGGTTTTCAATGAGCCGTGAGGACCTGGGCCTGAAAGGCCCCCTGCATTGCTCAACACATGCGCTCTCTCTTTCTCTCTCTCGTGGTCGCCATTTTGCTGGTAAGCGAGTGTCTTCGCGTAAATTTTCGCCCTTTTTTCTGCTATTTTCGCGTTTACGATACTTTATTTTCAAATTAACATGTATCCCAGAACGTTTTGTTGGGTTTTTTTCGAAATCTAAACGAATATCTGCTGCTTTTTGGAAGAATTCGTGGGTTTTTCTGTAACCCAGTTATTTAATGCACGTGTGATCTGTTGTGTCGAAAAAATTTGTGCCACGAATGACGATCCATAAAGCAACTGCTGTTTCCTGTAGAAGAAAACTGCATAATGTATCCCATCTTTGTCCGTCAGAATAAACCGAGCAACGACCGGATTAGAATCCCATAAGAAACGATTTTACATAGGAAATCTCGGGTGAAAAGTGAGAAAATTTTAACCACTCGCCAGTATGGTTAAATCAATCAATCTGGGTACAATAACTAAACATTTAAAAAGTTGCATTTGTCGCTCTAACTAACTGTTAACTAGTCTTATTTTTTACACTTCCTCTGATCGTCAATGAATTCCAAAAACAATAGCCCCCAATTATGCACCGATCAATTCGAAACTTCAACACTCCCCACGGCACTGTGCGACAAATGCAGAATGCAGACTGGCAGGTAGACGGAGTAAACATTGTCGTAGAATGCTCTAACAGGGTCCCTATCCGTACACTAGACTTTCAAAATGACGTAAACTGTAGGGATAGGGACTCTGTTAAAGCATTTCACATCAAGGTTTTCCTCGTTTACCTGTCGGTCTGCTAGTCTGCAGTCTGCATTTGTTGCATGACGCCCCACGGGCATACCCTGTGGTTTGGCCGTTAGTTGTGCCTGGAAGTAGGAAATTTCACATGAAAATGGTCTTTTAAATTGTCCATAAATGCAGTCTATACATACTATAGGGTATATGCTACTGGTTGCTGTTATCAGCAGATTTCCCGATTGGAATATGATTAGTTTAGTTCAATTAAGGATGTGGTGGCATACAATTGCAAAACTAGTTAATCTTCAACTATTTTCACGGAATATTATATTTTTCACAGGAAAAATGTCGGCTGACCTACAGTGGATGATTTTGAGGAATAACTCCTGCTTCCTTCTGAGGAATCAAGGAACAACTTTTACCAAGGTTAGTTAACCCGTGTTTATTTTGTCAGAGTATTGCCTTCTCTGATGACCCAGAGCTCTTGGAATGATAGGGCAGCACATCTCGTTACTTGTAGTTGCTTTTTGTAACCCAAGATGTCTACTCGGCAAGTAAGAGTCCATGATAGTGAGGTATAAGAAGAATATCCATGGATAACATGTGCGTTGATCAAGTCAGAATGCTGAAATATGATATTTGATGTCTGCGGTCATGAGAGTAAAAAATTTAATGAGAACAAAGAAAGTGCAAAAAGCATCTTTAAGTCAACACCTGATAACAAGTAAAGTCAGACTGTAATATTTATCACTATTTAAGAGAGTTGGTAATTTTTGCCTGGTATTGAGCTGCTATCCATATTATTGAGATCTTTGTAACGACCAGGTGTCTTCTAGGTGGGAGTTGACTGTACTAGTTGGCTGGGGCAAAATCTTGTCTCTCATTTAATCTAATTTTGTTATTTTTACCTTCCCTTTGTAGGGGAAAAATTTTTTTGTTACCTTGTTGCCTTGTTGATTCATGTTGTAATGTTACTGACACTACACTTTAGTAGATGTCCAGCAGGAGTAGTATAACATGACAAAATTTTACATCTCTTCCAGGAACCTCTGAACCTTGCTGGAAGGCATTCATTTAAACACAGTGGATTGGTGAACAAGAAGGTATAAAGGATTGTTGTATCAGTTTAGTCATTAGGGACCTTAAGCATCGACAATGAAACGGAGGATGACGCCGCTTTGCAACCAAGGCAGACTAGACCAAGAGTTTCGTTTTCGGCAGGGAAAATGAAGTTTAAGTAGTGCAGGTTCCCAGACAGACGACAACTTTTTCTTAGCGAAGAAATTTGTCTTGCTATAGTCTTGTTATGGCATTCAAAGACCTTCGTAATTTACATCTTATAAGCTATGACGAGTAATTGACGGTGGCAAATTTATTGCTCTTTATGACCCATAATTTGATTGTGGAGGCTTTCTCTTTGTCGTGCAGCTTTTGTTTTTGTTTTTGTTTTGAAGTTAAAAATGAATACCGATCTCGAACAGCTCTTGAGTTGCAGTCACTCTAAATTTCAGCTACTGTAGAGAATTCGGTGCTGCTGCAATGTTCTCCTGTACTTGTACTCTCTCAAGGCTCCTCATGACGATGTACATCCTGTTCTGGAGTCCCCTGGAAATAGTTACCTTTACTAGCAGCTAAAAACAACATGGGAAACAATTAAATTTTAGTACAAAAAAAATGAACATTTATCCTACAGTACAAACTAAAATGCATGAGTAAACATAGACAGTCAAGGAACGACAAGCATCTAATCTCACGGCAGGTTCGGAAGATAGCGGAGGAAAGCTTACTTGTCTTTAATTTCTGGCCAGCTGTTGTGCCACCTCTCAAGTTTTCAAACAAACTGAACCTGAAAAATAAATTCAAGGATTTCTACTGGTTCTGAATGACAAGGTGGAAAAAGAGTGATTTACTCGCGCAAAAAGTATATTTTTATACTTATGTTTTAGTGACAATGGCAAACCTCCCCGAATTTCGTTGTCAACGAAGGTTGGACGACATTTTGACAACCTGACGCATGCTGAAAAGGTTCTTGTGCGAAAATTACACTTCCGGTTGGCGTCGTCGTCCCATTTCGTCGTCAATGCTTAAGGTCCCTATTGTTTATTCCAGTTATTTTGAGTATTGGTGCTAAGGTTCCTAAATATTTTGATGACTTGTTTTGCTATTTGTTTATTTCTACGTTTCTGTCCTGTCTACAGGCAATTGGAGTTACAGCTGATCCCAATGGCAAGGGTGTAGTCCTCACCACAAAAAAGACAAAGTGTAAGTTTTTCATGTATAAAACTACAGTGCAAGTAAAGCAAGTGAAGCTCTCTTCTTCTGTAGCACACTGTGAATTGAAATTGTGGTACTAGGTTTGAATTCTGAGCGCTATGCTTAAGCTTTTTAGTCCTTCATAAGTAAACATCTTCAAGTTTCGTTAAAGTTGAACACATTTATGTGTCACTGGTATATGCAGGGCTTGAAGCTTAATAATCAGAAGCACACAGTGGTTGTTAATAATAGTTTGATTTCATTGTTATCTTGCAGATGCAAACAAGCCACCCAAGAATCTTACTAAGGTGACCCTTGCTAGTGACTCCCGTCGCACTGTCAAGACCATCAAGAACCTGTGTGGTAAGAACTTCTACCGACAAGATTTGGAAGATGCAGCAGTCAGAAGGGCATGTGCTATCCTCCGCAGCCAGAGGACCACCACTGGTGTTCAGAAGAAGAGAACACGCAGAAAGCGCAACTAAATCTGCACCTTGATATTTCTTGCTGACAAATAAAACTGAGGACAGCAAATTTGTTGCTGTGTTGTGTCATTGCTTTGTTACTATGGTAGTATGGGGAGGAGGATTACATTTAATTGACCAATTTCATTATATTAAAATATTTGTACTTGGCTTGTGGCTTGGGGAAATAAAACAAAGAAATATATTATTCATAATTTGCTGAGCCTCAAGATGATTTCTTTTGTTTTATTCCCCTATGCCTTGGTGTCACGTCTGTATTTTGATATATTGAAATTGTTTTTGGCCTTGTACAGAGCTCCAAATAACTTTTTGTTACTTGAACGGAGATATGTCAGACAAAAAATGTTGTTGGACTCAGTCAAGGACGCACTATGAGTCTCTTATGAGAATTCTGCAGGGTAGACACAGAACTCGTAAAGACAACTGATTACGTCCAGATATTCCGAACAACAATGCTATTTCATTGGTATGACAATTCACATGATTCATGTCCAACCTCGGTTAAGAAATTTGCCAGTTTTAGTGGGACATTTGGTAAGATTTCCTTGCAGTCCCATGAATTTATTATGCATGCAGAACTTCTTACTATTTCCCACGAATTATTGAAACATGTTTGCATAATAAAATTAATGTATGGGCTGTACGGAAATCTTACCAAAACGGATAGTTAGTGAGAAACAAACCCTGACTGTTTCAGTCTAGGGTTGGCTTAACCACACATGCAGGTGTTTTCAGGGGAGCTTGTATTTTGTCCCTCTGAAATAAGAGCACCCCTAGAAAAGCCTGCGTGGGAGGCTAGGGCTGTCTGTATGTGCTTATAAATAACAATTATTCTAGAAGGTAGAATAGAGAAATGGCGCTTTCTTTGTTTTAATCTTTGTTCTTCTGGGGGTGGCGTGGCTCGTGTTGACCTCGATCGGTTGAAAACTGTCAATCAATAGGCGAGCAATGATGGGATTAGTTTTCATGACTCATACACAAGGCAAATTGCATTTTTGCCGCAGGGCAAAAAAAAGCCTGCAGTACACCGTTAACTGTCTCCCTCTGTTGCTACGTTTTTGAACACGACAAAATCTTCGATTTATTTGAGTTTGGGAAGCCAAACATCGAATGATCGACTCCTAGAAGACCCTAAGCTGTCGTAGTAGCGTATTGAAAGAATATGTGTTGCGTAAATTACGTACTGTGGAGGTAGTGATATACCTACTACAGCAATCTGTCGCTATGGCAAATACCGATATTTGAATAGTTTGTGGAAAGAGCTGGGATTAGAGATGAACGGATTCTGTGTATTTCATTATCGGTGAAAAGGATGTGTGAATTATCAAGTTGATGTTGTGCTGTTGATTATGTCCGTGGGATTCATTGTGACAGTGAAAATCTGAGTGTAAATGGAGTTCTCCTTCAGCGTCAATAACTTGTTACCCGACACCATCACACTGGTGGACGATAAGCTGGCACCATTCAGATCTCGGGTGAAAAATGACAGGTAAGTTTATAATATTGCATTGCTTAAGAAATAAATTTGTTAATATAACTAGCCATGCTTATATGGAAGAAAGTAAAGGAAAATGCATACACCGAAGTGTAATTAAGCTTTTCATTTTTTTTTTTTGCCTTCTATAGCTACCTGTGTGCATTGCATGTGACCTTACATTGTATCTTCGAAATTAATTCCACTTGGAAGAAAATTTCCATCCATCGAACAATGCAAAGATTGATGGCTATCAGCATGTTCGAATCGTTTGCGGCAACTTTATTTTATCTGCAGCGAGTTTTTTTATTTGCAGCATGTCCCCTGAGTGCCACTGTTGCTGACAGGCTCATAGTTTATGATTTGTATCTTTTTTTGGTTTCATAATATACAAGGTCTGAATTTGCAAACAAACAGTCCCAGCTTAAGACAGTTATTGACAAGATGGGTGAAGCTTCAACAAGGGTGAGTTTGCATTTGTGTGGCAAAATAGACCGTTTTAATTTCAATGTTTACCCCTCCCCACCCCCTCCCCCAATGCTTTTATTAGCTGACAGTTAATATCATTGAAGTACGCAGTCATGTAACATTTGTCATTTTGAAACTTTCAGGCACAAGGCTTGCGAGCCCCTATCACCAGTGCAATCAAGCTCCAGCACTCAGAACAAAGGCTTTATATTATGAAGGAACTAGCAGCCAATAAGTAAGTCATTTTTTTCTTGTACTGTACCTGTTGAAGCCCTCTGTCTGAATCAATAAGGAAGATTTAGCGAAAAGAAGTGGCCCCAGAGGTGATTACAAGTAGATCTAAAAACCAGCATTACCAGTCAGGTGGCAGGAAGGCAATTCAACACAAACTTGCCTCCCAGCGTACAAGATAATGTCTGTAAAATTTGGTGACTGTGCCAAGCAGTATCTTCAATAGTTTACAACAAATCACTCACAAAATTGGCATCTTTCCTAATTTTAAGGTGATTTTTGCTCACTGGTCCCATTCAAAAGTTGAAAAAAAAACACATGGAATGGTACATGTGTATATTATGAACGATTGTTCATGAGGACACTTATTAAAGAGTATTTTGCTTTGTACCCTAGTGGGTTAGGTGCAGCTGTGGGGATTATTAAAGTTGGTCAGAAGAAACTGTTTTTATTGGTAAGTATTTACTCTTTATGCTGTGTTCAGTAGAGCCTGTTGAGAAAATAGCCAACATTTTGAGATGCAACCACTGATTTCCCCACATAATGACATCCTGACATGCTGGGATCAGTTTCTGGGAAACTGCCCAAACACCCCACGCCTAACCCATGTTTCTGCCCTTAAGTCAAATGTCAGTGAGAAACATGGATTAGGGGTGGGGTGGGTGGACAGTTTTCCAGAAACCTTAACTGATCCACATACTCTAGGGAGCAGAAAGAGGATTAAAAGTCAAAAAAGAAAAAAAATGACTGCCTGTACTCTCAGATTTAGAACCAATAAATTGACATAGCAAGATAATCTTATTATTAACCCAGCGTTCTCTCTTAAAGTATGGTAAGTACATGCTTGACAAATTTTCCCTTCTTCATTGACAAAACTTGACAGATTTAGTGCATTATTTTGATTTGCCTGTCAGTTATGAAAATTGTGCTTTCTGTTTATTCATATCTAAAAGATCCAGCTAGAATGTAATACAGTCAAAATCTGCTTCACAGACACCCTCTTGTTATGGACAGTTTGCTTTTTCCCTGGGGAAACAAAGCCCTACATTTTCAATATGGATGCCTCGTTAATGTGGACACTTTCCATGGCCCCCCTCAGGGCCTGTATTACACAGGGTTTGACTGTATGAATGCTTGTTTTTACATCAGGACATGCAAAGTGTTCAGTATGAGGTGCATCCCTTGTGTGTGCTGGATTTCTACATCCATGAGACTCGCCAGAGGACAGGGTGTGGCAAAAGACTGTTTGAGCATATGCTGAAGGTTTGTATTATAGATTACTATCTAGATAGGCTTATCAGGGTTTAGTATTACTCTCATTATAGAGATTTGTGCACGCGGGGTCAGCGGCCAGCGAGCATGATGACAGAGTTTATTCTAGCTCTGCTAGACTTTATTTGTTTTTTCTATTTTTTCTGTAACTTTAAGGGGCACAATATTAGTTTATCTAGACATGCCTGTCTTCTCCCCTTCCTATATACAATGTGATTTAAGTGCTGTAATTTTTTATTGTACATTTTCTTTCTGTGTAAATTTTATTTGTAAATTACTTTTTCACCGTATATCTAATTTTGTATTATCATCTGCTAAGGTGTGGAGAAATAAATAAAATGAAATGAAAAAAAAAAGTTTGCGCACTCTCATCAGTTGAGGATTGCATCCTACATGTATGTTGCTATAATCAACCCACACAGGGTGACTATTTTGATCTCTGCTGACTTTTTCTTGTGGATTATTCACCTATATTAACTACGACTTTGGCAATAACTGCTAAATAACATTATTATAATCTTACCCAAACTTGTCATAAATGGGCTCTTCAAATGTGTTTTGCCCCTCATCCAAAGTAGGCTTGTAAAACAAAGTTCATATAGGGGGATGAACTTAATGTAAGAATACCTGTAATCTGAAATTACACTCTCTGAAAGAGCTTTATCAAACCATGGGCATAGTTACCTAGTAATGTTGTTGAAGCCGGTACCCTTGAACTTTTTAAATGTAAACTCAAATCCTTTTTAAAGTTGTAATTTTTATTGTTTGTTTGTTGTTTTTAGGAGAGTTTTATTCATAGGGTTAACCTCTAGACTCTCCCTTTCAAATTTATGTAGTTATATATGAGTTTGAATAAACATGTATGTTGATGTTGTTGATGTTATTATTTCATCCTTGCTATTTCAAAACAGACCCCTGGTGCCAGGGCACATGTTTGTACATTAAGTGGTGTTCTTTTGTCCATTTGTGTGGATTTGTTGTTTCTCCAATGTGGTTTTATTTTTGTTTTCATTGTTTTCTTGCAGATGGAAGGTAGGATGGTTCACCACCTAGCAATTGACAGGCCTTCACATAAGTTTGTCTCCTTCCTGAAGAAGTATTATGGTTTAAAGAATGCAATACCTCAGGTTAGGGAGAATTTTATTTAAAGTAGTATTAGTAGTAATGATAATGATATTGAATACATTATTGATGATGATAATTAACAATTATTGAGTGAGTCTGAGTATCATCTGAAGAATGATGAAGATTGAGGAAGGTGTTATCATCCTCGGCCTTATCGGCCTGGGTGGATAACTCCCTCCTCGATCTCCATAACTTTTCAGATGATGCTCAGCCTTATCTAATAATTGATAATTATAATGATATCGATAAAGATGATGATAACAATACAATAATGATAACGATAATGATACAGATATCGATAATGATAATTATAATGTTAATGATAATGGCAGTAATATTTAATAAATTAATTCATGCCATTCATGAATTTGAACATTTTTTTGTATGGCAATAGCTATGGTTAGGTTTTTGCATGGTCTTAAAATTGACGCAGATTTGACAGATATTGACCAATATCTGCAGTATTATATATACAAACTTCAACTGTATTATAAATATGATACTTTTCGTTCCAGGCCAATAACTTTGTGATCCATGAGCACTTTTTCTCGGATCTGGAAGGTAAGTATTGTTGTCTAAAAGCAGTTTAATGACAAAGCGCATCGATTGCAGTAGTGATTTAGTTACTACAAATTATTATTTTCAGATACTACAGCAACTGATTCAAGCAAAGATTGTAAATGCCCCCGCAGAGATTTCGCACAGGAGGCGAAATCCCGAAGGGGTATGTTAGTAGCTCGCGCATACATAAAGAAAAGTACTTACAGTTCAAATATACAGTCAGTTTACATTTGCCAGAAAAAGTATCGATTTGTTAAAAACTGGGACTGCATGGAATTGTTGGGTAATAATGACGTTTCAGCGCTGAACGAAGTATGAAATGGTTAAGGATGACGTAAAACAGAAAATACTCAAAGGGACTTCCTGGGTTGATTTTGTGACATTCATTTTTCAGTCTGTACTTCGATACTCTTTTTCGTTACGCGTGTTCAGTGACATTCTGTGGAGCAGCTGTTTTGAGGATATTAAAGAAAAACTAAAATTTACATTTCTTTGTCTCATTTTCCTCTCTTAAACAACCATCATAAACCCACTGACCACGAAAGAGATAATCTCGAGTGTGACCGAAATTATCTGAAATTATGGACCGAAAGACACTCGGTAAGCATGAACGTAAGTTATAAGGGGCGTATGACTGTGTATAAGCACTTGAAGGGTTTGCCAGACGCGAGTTTATCATTCACAAATCTTTGATTGGAAACGATTTGTCAGACACAAATCACTGTTGGGGAACGGAAGACTCATGCAGTCCACAAACAAGCAAGTTTCCCTCAGCGAACGAGTGAATTAAACTAGCTTATTAGCAGACTAATGGGCGATTACAGAAATTTGCCGACAATTAAATTCTCTGCTTACGTATTCCCTTTTCCCCTTTCGATATCCCTCTATTAAGCTTTTTTCTTAAAAATCAAAAAAGCGAAGTATTGTCTTAAATGCCCTTTTAGGTTTTTTTAAAAAATGACTAAACGCAAGTGTAAATGGATCAAAGCTTAAATTCCTGAGTCTCCAGCGCTTTCCAGCCGGCTAAAAATGAACTGTATGTAAATAGTAAAAGAGAAACAGAGAAAAATTACCACTTGTAATCAAATCTTTTCTGGTAGTTTTGAGAGTGAATCAATGCTTTGACTGCATGGAATATGTGAAAATTTTCAATATGAATCGGTTATATTTCAAAGAGGTACGCAAAGACCAAGGATACAATTGATCGACAACATACAGAGCGGGGACAGCTGTAGCGTCAACTTTTATTAGTAATATTATAATAAAAATTTTGTCTTGTGGTGATGCACTCAAATGATGTTTAAGAGTCCTTTCCAAAGTTTTTTTTTTTTTTAACTTTTGACATGGACAAGTTAGGGAAAATCCTTCAACTCCACTAAAAAGAGCGCCTTTAGTTAATAACATTGCCAAGCGTAAAAGTGATTTTTTGAAAACTAACCAAGGTATAGCTCCTCAAAGCCGAGAAATTTTACAGAAGCTATGTCTTTACTCGCTTAATCCTTTAAGTCCCAATAGTGACCAACATCAATTTTCTCCCAACAATATCCATAGGTTGTCAAAAGAAACGGTTACGAGAATTAATAAAATGATCATAGAATAGAAAGTGCATTGATCTTTTATCAAATTCTCTCAACTAATTCCTTAAGGAAATGTATAGAGATCAGTTTGGAGAATTTGTTTGGGGCTTAAAGGGTTAAGACGTATCAATTTCAAACTTGGCAAGTTTACTAATTTTAAGGTCCTCTTCCCAGTGTTGTCAACGGATTTTCCCTAACTATAGTGCGTGTCAAAAGTTAAACAAAACCGTGAAAGGGTCCATTGGAAGTGCGGCTGAAATCCGGCAGGACACCACAGACTGTTCAGTAACCCTCTGTGTCTGGTGGAAAGAAGAAAGACGTGTCTATCGCGCGTGAAAGTACTTTACTTTCAACTTGAATCCCTAGCAAAAGAACCTGTTGTAGATTTTTGGTGAAACTTGGTACACTGTCGTGAATAGTTAAGAAGATCGTAAAGACGTGAAAAAAGGGGGATCGCCGTGGTCGTTTCCGTGCTATAATACTGACGGATACGGCCGTTTAGGCACCTTCTGTAATAACCGCCCCCAACCTTAAACTGTTCATTGTTTATCCAGTTACCTTCCCAGAAAAATGTCTTTGAATACCTTAGTTTTTCTTTACTTTCCTTGGTAGGCTTATTTTAAATGCACTGTTTGACTCATTGTCTCAATAGTTAGAAACTTGTTCAAATAGCAAAAAACTGGTCATAGATTTGTGACAATTAATTTTTCTTGTTGCTGTAGAGCTGCAGAGATTGCACCCCGATTTTCGATTTACAGGTGTTGTGCACTTTCCAAGGTCTGTCCTCCTCTTCGATCGACTTCTATTTAACTATCTTTCTTTAGAAGCTCTCTTCATGGTCGCCATCGTGTTATGGAATGTAAGAGATGAACACTGCCAAACCAGCGAATTATCTTAAGCTAACTCAAGTCGCTGTTTTCTGTTTTTATTTAGCTGTTGGTTATGTACCTCGCCGAAGTCAGCGTTTTGGTACCCAGAATGCATCTCAGCCCGGAAGGCCTCCTATTCACCCATATAGAAGAACAAGTAAGATCAGCAAGCAGTGACAGTTTCTCATACATCAGGAGCACCCAACGACATTTTCCTCCTAAATACATTGAAGACACTGTTTAGGCTATCCAGAGTATCCGTAGAAATACATTCTAAGTGGGGCTATAAAATTTGTATCTGTTCGGTCATCTTAGGGGAACTTATTATTAGTGTTTTGAATGGAACGGTTATCTAGAAATTTTTAGCTGTCCTCAAGCTGTAGAAAATTCTAGGCAATATTTGCTTCTCTTCTCCGAACATATATTTTACAAAAAACAGTCGTTGGGTGCCCCTGAAAAAAATGAAAATTGACTCCAATTCAAAGAGGACAGAGGGCAAATTGTTGTTGCTCGAAATATCTAAAAGTCGTAACTGTTCGTCCGTAGGATATTTTAGGTTGTGCATTACAATAAAATTATTAGGCCAAACACACTTTTTGGGAAGTAAAAAGGAATAACAAATCCTGTTGTAACGCAAAAGAGACGTTTTTTTTTCTACCGCAAGGATTTGAAGTTCTCACAACAGGTGTTTTTTTTCTTCGCAACAGGCCAAAGTAACGGTGAACCGTCGCTCCTGCAGAAGCGCCATTCCAGCTCAAGTCGGCCAAACAGTGGCCGAGAATTTTCAGCACTTTCCAGTCACACGGTCGAAGGAAGAGAAACGGATTCACGTGACCATTTCCGGATAAAAGATTCACTTCAGGATATAAACTTGCCTCCCCTTGTACCCAGGCCCTTATCGCGAAACTCTACTCCAGGCTCGCGCGGCTCTTCAGCAGGGGGGAGGCCTGTGACGAGGGAGATGGAACTAAGGTAGGATGACTCATTATAAGTACAAGAACGTGTTGAATTTGAATGCTTCGTGTACACTGTTTTAAGAAGATCCTTGTAACAGGCCAGGACTAGATCGAGGTTAAAGTGTGTGTTTGTATACTGTCACAAAGACATGGTTTCGAACATTTTTTTCACCAGATAATTCGAATCAGGCACATAGGTCTCTTTTCATTGTAATTCGCCCTAAAAACGACCAAAATTTAGTGTGCGTCCATGCTAAATTTCGGTCTTCTTCTCGTAAAACACTAGAAACACTGAAGCAACCAGTTATGTTCGTTCTGAAGCATTCAACGCGTCACGTGGTTTGGCGGCTCGCGCAACTCGTTATAGCCGGCATTCAAATCGTGGAGGGTCAGCTGATATTATCAAGTCGAAAAGGAACGTGGAAGCGATGGACAGCACCGCTGACAGTAGCAGTAGCTATCTCAGGAGCAATAGTGGAGGAAGGATAAGATCGCTGCATCTCACTTCCGCTGAAAATCCGTTTCACGGACAACAATCAGCAACAGTGCAGATGGCCGAAAAGCAGCAGCATGAACAGTTGAGTAACATAAAATCCTTTTTCTCGTAGAAATATTCTTAGATTATCGTACAGTTCTTCCTGGGGATTCTTTTATGTTGCTAACCTTTCTAACAACTTTAAAGTCGTATTTCATTCTTTTCTGCTCTTTTGTTTTAACCAGAGTTACACAAATGGTGCCATCAAATGACAAACCTAAACAGGACTACAACTCGAACGTTTCCGATAAACAACCCGGGGAAGCAGAAACACAAAGTGGACTTACTTCATCAGGAAACTTTTCCGTCACTTCACTTTTTAACTCTCACTTTGGCGTGCGTCCACCTTTCATGGGTAGTTCATGGAACATTTTCGGTGTACCGACGTACTCCAGTTCGGCAAATAACATGTACGCGAGAAGAACTAGTCAAAGACATCATCCGTTTTAACCAACGAAAACGTAGCCTGCGTGGCAGGCGCTGGTTAGTTTTTATGAAGCGCGCGAGGGGAACACGCGATGGGGAGAGGAGGTCTCCTCTTCTTTTCTCCTCTCGTGTGCGCGCGTGTCCTCGATATTTCTCCTTTCACCCTAAAAAAACCCGGTACCTTCTTCGCAGGCTAACAAAGAGGCAATCAGACCTACCTCTCGGAAGTTGTATTCACGAAATGCCTTGGAAGAGTGCTATTCTGTTGATAAACACTGATTTGGTTTTGTGTTTAGCTAATCTAGTATCCTTTGCATTCCAACCTCAGTGCAAAGTCAGATTTTTTAATTAGTTAGTGCTTTTGTCGGCATTTTGCTGAAATTCCCGAAAGCAGCTTACTAGCAAAAATGAACGATGTAAAATATCCAGAGTATTTTTTTAAGGAAGTGTTTAAGATATTAGCTATCAATATTTGAGCGCGAGGTATGTACATAAGTGTGTGTTGTTGTTTCAATGTATTACATTTTCCCACAGTATATCATTCTTAGAATACATATCAAACGATAGAGCAGATTTTGTATGTCTGTCAAGCGACTGCACAGTGTTAATTAGAAAGCGGCCGCAGGTCATCCCAGGGGGGGGGGTGCGCACCCCCTGCACCCTCCCCCTGGATCCGCTCCTGTGGTAGTTTTGATAGTGTTTGATCAAAGCTGGGTAAATCGACCTGAATCAATGCATTGGCTCTTGCGTTTCCTGTTTTTATCTCACCTATTGCATGGAATATGTGAAAATTTTCAGTATGAATCAGGTATATTTCAAAGAGGTACGCAAAGACCAAGGATACATTTGATCGACAACACACAGAGCGGGGGCAGCTGTAGTGTCAACTTTTATCAGTAATATTATAATAAAACGTTTGTCTTGTGGTGATGCACTCAAATCATGTTTAATAGTCCTTTCCATAGTTTTTTTCAACTTTTGACATGGACAAGTTACTGAAGTTAGGGAAAATCTGTCAACTTCACTGGAAAGAGCGCCTTTAAATTAATAACATTGTCAAGCTTAAAAGTGATTTGTTGAAAACTAACGAAAATATAGCTCCTCAAAGCCGCGAAATTTTACAGAAACTATATCTTCATTCGCTTAAGACGTATCAATTTCAAACTTGGCAAGTTTACTAATTTTACGGTCCTCTTCCCAGTGTTGGCAACGGATTTTCCCAAACTAGTGCATGTCAAAAGTTAAAAAACCGTGAAAGGGTCCATTTAAATCCCGCAGGATACCACAGACTGTTCAGTAACCCTCTAGGTCTGGTTATACAGAGGGGAAGGAAAGAAGAAAGTCGTGCCTATCGCACGTGAAAGTTCTTTACTTTCAACTTGAATCCCTAGCAAAAGAACCTGTTGTAGATTTGTGGTGAAACTTGGTACACTGTCGTGAATAGTTAAGAAGATCGTAAAAACGTGAACAAAGCGGGATCGCCGAGGTCGTTTCTGCGCTATAATACTGACGGGTACGGCCATTTAGGCACCTTCCGTAATAACCGCCCCCAACCTTAAACTGTTCATTGTTTATCCAGTTACGTTCCCAGAAAAATGTCTTTAAATACCTTAGTTTTTCTTTACTTTCCTTAGTAGGGTTATTCTAAATGCACTGTTTGACTCATTGTCTCAGTCCGTAGAAATTTGTTGAAGTAGCAAAAAACCGGTCATAGATTTGTGACAATTTATTTTTCTTGTTACTGTAGAGCTGCAGAGGTTGCACCCCGATTTTCGATTTAAGGGTGGTGCGCACCTTCCCAGGTCTTTCCTCTTCTTCGATCGACTTCAATTTAACTATCTTTCTGTAGAAGCTCTCTTCATGGTCGCCATCGTGTTATGGAATGTAAGAGATGAACACTGCCAAACCAGCGAATTATCTTAAGCTAACTCAAGTTGCTGTTTTCTGTTTTTATTTAGCTGTTGGTTATGTGCCTCGCCGAAGTCAGCGTTTTGGTACCCAGAATGCATCTCAGCCCGGAAGGCCTCCTATTCACCCATATAGAAGAACAAGTAAGATCAGCAAGCAGTGACACTTTCTCATACATCAGGGGCACCCAACGACATTTTCCTCCTAAATACATTGGAGACACTGTTTAGGCTATCCAGAGTACTTTTAGATCCGTAGAAGTACATTCTAAGTGGAGCTATAAAATTTGTATCTGTTCGGTCATCTTAAGGGAACTTATTATTAGTGTTTTGAATGGAACGGTTATCTAGAAATTTTTATCTGTCCTCAAGCTGTAGAAAATTCTAGGCAATATTTGCTTCTCTTCTCCGAACAGATATTTTACAAAAAACAGTCGTTTAGTGCCCCTGAAAAAAAATGAAAATTGACTCCAATTCAAAGAGGACAGAGGGCAAATTGTTGTTGCTCGAAATATCTAAACGTCGTAACTGTTCGTCCGTAGGATATTTTAGGTTGTGCATTACAATAACATGATTAGGCCAAACACACTTTTTGGGAAGTAAAAAGGAGTAACAAATCCTGATGTAACGCAAAAGAGACATTTTTTTTTCTACCGCAAGGATTTGAAGTTCTCACAACAGGTGTTTTTCTCTTCGCAGCAGGCCAAAGTAACGGTGAACCGTCGCTCCTGCACAAGCGCCATTCCAGCTCAAGTCGGCCAAACAGTGACCGAGACTTTTCAGCACTTTCCAGTCACACAGTCGAAGGAAGAGAAACGGATTCACGTGACCATTTCGGGATAAATGATTCACTTCAGGATATAAACCTGCCTCCTCTTGTGCCCAGGCCCTTATCGCGAAACTCTACGCCAGGCTCGCGCGGCTCTTCAGCAGGGCGGAGGCCTTTGACGAAGGAGATGCTACTAAGGTAGGATGACTCGTTATAAGTACAAGAACGTGTTGAATTTGAATGCTTCGTGTACACTGTCTTAAGAAGATCCCCGTAACAGGCCAGGACCAGTTACAAAGACATGGTTTCGAACATTTTTTTTCACCCGATTATTCGAATCAGGCACATAGGTTTCTTTTCATTGTAATTCGCCCTAAAACCAAAATTTAGTGTGCTTCCATGCTAAATTTCGGTCTTCTTCTCGTAAAACACTAGAAACACTGAAGCAACCAGTTATGATTGTTCTGAAGCGTTCAACGCGTTACGTGGTATGGCGGCTCGCGCAACTCGTTATAGCCGGCATTCAAATCGTGGAGGGTCAGCGGATATTATCAAGTCGAAAAGGAGCGTGGAAGCGATGGACAGCACCGCTGACAGTAGCAGTAACTATCTCAGGAGCAATAGTGGAGGAAGGATAAGATCGCTGCATCTCACTTCCGCTGAAAATCCGTTTCACGGACAACAGTCAGCAACAGTGCAGATGGCTGAAAAGCAGCAGCATGAACAGTTGAGTAACATAAAATCCTTTTTCTCGTGGAAGCATTCTTAGATTATCGTAAAGTTCTTCCTGGGGATTCTTTTATGTTGCTAACCTTTCTAACGACTTAAAAGTCGCATTTCATTATTTTCTGCTCTTTTGTTTTAACCAGAGTTACACAAATGGTACCATCAAATGACAAACCTAAACAGGACCACAACTCGAACGTTTCCGAAAAACAACCCGGTGAAGCAGAAACTCAAAGTGGACTTACTCCATCAGGAAACTTTTCCGTGACTTCATTTTTTAACTCTCACTTTGGCGTGCGTCCACCTTTCATGGGCAGTTCATGGAACATTTTTGGTGTACCGACGTACTCCAGTTCGGCAAATAACATGCACACGAGAAGAACTAGTCAAAGACATCATCCGTTTTAACCAACGAAAACGTAGCCTGCGTAGCAGGCGCTTGTTAGTTTTTATGGAGCGCGCGAGGGGAACACTCGATAGGGAGAGGAGGTCTCCTCTTCTTTTCTCCTCTTGTGTGCGCGCGTGTCCTCGATATTTCTCCTTTCGCCCCCAAAAAACCAGCACCTTCTTCGGAGGCTAACGAAAAGGCAATCACACCTACCTGTCCTCTCGTAAGTTGTATTCACGAAATGCCTTGGAAGAGTGCTATTCTGTTGATAAACACTGATTTGGTTTTGTGTTTAGCTGATCTTACTAGTATCCTTTCCATTCCAACCTCAGTGCCACGTCAGATTTTTGAATTTGTTAGTGCTTTCGACGGCATTTTGATGAAATTCCCGAAAGCAGCTTACTATCAAAAATGAACTATGTAAAATATCCAGAGTATTTTTTTAAGGAAGTGTTTAAGATATTAGCTATCAATATTTGAGCGCGAGGTATGTACATAAGTGTGTGTTGTTGTTTCAATGTATTACATTTTCCCACAGTATATCATTCTTGCAAAGGGCTTATTATGGAGATTTTGCGTTCAAAATCAGCACCACTGGAACGTCTCTGTTTCCAAGAATTTCTCACTGATCTATTTGAAATCAGTGAGTCGTTGATGGGAACGTGCATTCTTACACACTTCGGTTTCGAGTTCTTGCTGTGTTCAGTTGAACTTGACCGCAACAACTGACCTCCCGATCCCAGGGGCAAACGTTTTTATCCAATAGCAAGTATGTGACAGGCTGTTTTTTGTCTCTAATAGTCAAACGAGTGTAGTAGTCATATAGGCTGATCCTGGCTCTCAGTGAATCGGGACGGCGAAGACTTAGTTCGTGCCTGTAACCAGTTTTGAATAAGCAAGGTTAGCATACGTTGCGTCGGAATAACGAATTCCAACAGGAAAACCAAATAAATTAAATAAGAATTCCAGAAAATGTCGCTGAGTTCGTATTGAGGAAACAACACTTAGACTTTCCTACGACCAAGAAAATCTGTGATTGATCGGAAATCTAGGCGAAATAATTGGAATATTTGAACTTATGGGTTTTAATTAGCCCTATCTCTTTCGAAATAAAGCTCTGGTAATTTAACAACGATTAATCCAAGCAGTGGTTTTTTGGCCCTCAGTGTCTAGCGTGACGTCATGAATGTGCAAAACACGCCATATTGGATTTTTCACCAAGGATTTTTTTCTTAAATGTGCGAATCGGACAAATAATTATTTGATGAGGTTTTGTGATACCTGGAATAACTTTAATTACGTACATTGTTTTGTACACACACACCTTTAGCACTTACCACAGCTTTGCATTGCTCTTGGAAGTCATACAGCGCTCGCACAAACGGGAGGTTGGACACCTTATGTGGCCCACACAAAGTAGTGATGGGGGTTAAGCACTAGGGTTACTATATATATTTAAATCTGAATCATTACTTACAGCAATTTCTCAGTGGTCT